TTTCCTGTGGGGCTGCGAGTGGGTTCAAACCACTCATCTTTCCATAGAAGCTGAGAGCTGTAACCACTCACTGTGCCACTAGGGCTCAAAAACACTAACAATGAATCTCAGACTCAGGAATTCTTGGAGCCGTCCTCCATTCCTCATTTAAGACATTTCTTCAACATAAGAATGATATCTAAAAAAGAAAGAACGCTATCTTTAAAAAAAAAAAATCCAAACCATCTTTTTCAAACTTAACCATGCATTATGCAGTGAGAATGAATTTGAGGACCTCTGTGTGTCTTCCCTGGCCTGCTCATTTGGAAAGTTTGACGCTCTCTGCCTTGAACAGAAGGTGGTTTTTCTGAGTCTCTCACATTACATCTCTTCTGGAATCTTCTTATCAGATAAGCAGCTCAGATATAGCCTCATCTGAAGTTATTTCCCCAGTCCTGAGACGTGATGTCATAGAGTAATTCAGAACTTCACTTGTCTCCCCCACACCCCCATTTATAGAGAGCTCTGGTGACTTTATGGTAAGCAGTTGTGCTGCCAACCTAAAGACACACAGTTCAAATCTATCAGTATTCCAAGAGGGAAAGATGGGTAATTTTCTCTCATGCAACAGATACCCTCTGAAAACCTACTGGAGGGTCAGCTATGCGTTGGTCCCAACTCAACCATATCTAACAACAAACACAGAATGCATTGATTAATGAAGTCTTTCCTCAGGAACAAGAAGAGGTTAGTCCATGTGGCAAAGAAATAAAGGACGGTGGAAGCAGGCTTGTTATTTAAAAGAAATCTTGCCATTTTCTCAGGGTATATTCTAAGTAGTGAAATAACTGGGTCACATGGAATTTCTATGTTCAACTTTTTGAGGAAGCGCCAACTGCCTTCCAGAGTGACAATCCAGTTTACAATCCTACCAACAATGTGTAAGAGCTCCTATCACACCATATCCTCTCCAACATTTATTACTTGCTGTCCTGCTAAACTTTGCCACTGCTACTGGAATAAGATGGTATCTCATTGTGGTTTTGATTTGCATCTCTCTTATTGCCAGTGATTTTGAGCATTTCCTCATGTGTCTGTTGGCCATCCAAATGTCCTCATCTGTGAAAATCTTTCCATGTCTTTTGCCCATTGTGTAACTGGAATATACTCTGAGAAAATGAGAACCGAGGCACAGAAATCTGTACACCAACATTAATAGCAGCGATCGTCACCATTGCAAGAACATGGAAACAGCCCAAATGCCCAAACACAATGAATGCATTGAGAAATTATGGTACATTCATGCAATGGAATACTATGCAGAACACAAGAGTAATGATTTTGTAAATTACTACCTAAGATGGTAGGGACTGAAGAGCATTATGCTAAGTGAACAAACTCAGTCTCATAAGGGCAAATACCATATAAGACTATTATTGTAGAACAAATACGAGGATCTAAGGGGCGGGGGGCTATTTGATGGGTGGAGGGAGGGATGGATAAACGAAAGGGGAAATATCCAGTGTGAAAACAACGTATATGAATTTTATGAACTTTGTATATAAACCAGCGTAAAATTGAAAAAAAATTTTAAAATAGAAAAAATGCATCTTGTCTCTCCCTCACCTCCCGGCTTCATAACAGTGGAACCTCAGCCCCATCACCAAGGCAGGAAGTTCATTTTGGCTTTAATTAACATATGAGTCTCTTTTCAGAGGTTTGGCAGAAATGATTATTTGGACCATGTTCTCGGACTCCTGGCTGCATGCTGCCCTCTACAGAGGCTATTCTTTCCCCCCCCCGCTAACTTTTTACTGTGCTCTGAGTTATAGTTTACAGAGCAGATTGCTTCAACATTCATCACCTTGTGCACATGTTAATCAGACACTGACTCCACAATATAAAAGCATTCTTTCCACTTCTACCCTGTGTTTCTCATTTCCATTTGTCCTTATTTCTGGTGGATTCCTACCTTCTGAGCTTAATCTCCATGAACGTTCTGGTGGTGAAGCTCACAGGAAGTTGTGCCAGAGGCCTACCAGCCGATAACTCAGGAGAATGATGGGCAATCTCCTCCCAGGAGGTTCACAGCCTCAGCAACCCACGGGAGAGTCAGCTATGAGTCAATTTCAACTCAAAGGAAATGAGTTACTAAGCTATCGAGGAAAACAGTCTACTTAAGCACCTGGGATATTATACCTAAGCCACGGATCTCCCAATATGATACGGGAGCATCACCTGAAAGCTCCTTTCCAATTATTGTTGTCAGCAGGCTCCATCCTTTTCACTTGTCAGTTACAGTGCAATTACAAATCACGCTACTATTAACACTGGGAGGCATGATTAAGGAAAACTTACCTCCACTGCCCGTAAAGTTTGCCAGTTGTCGTGGATGCAGCCCTTATTGTGGTTAGGGACCGCAGAGTTGAGTACAACCCACAACGACCCTATGGACAACAGAGCCAAAACCTGTGCCATCCACACACATCCTAACACAAGAGCCCAATGTGGCAGTCACTGTGTTAAACCACCTGCTTCAGGGGCTTCCTCTCCTTCACCAACCCCTCTACCTTTCTGAGCATCATGTCCCTCTCCAAGGAATAGCCCCTCCTAGCAACGTGCCCAAAGTATGTGAGGCTAAGCTTTATTATCTTTGCCTTTAAAGAACATTTGGGTTGTACTTTCTCCAAGACATGTTTGTTAGATCTTTCAGAATTCCATGGGATATTCAGTGTTCTTCTCCAACATCACAGCTCACAGGCATCAATTCTTCTTCTGTCATCCTTATTCACTGTCCAGCTCTCAGATGTATAGCAAGTGATCAGAAACACTACAGCCTGAATCAGACACACTCCAGTCCTCCAACTGACATTATTTCTCCTCAATAATTTAGAGAGGTCCCTGACTGCAGACTTTCCCCATGCAAAACATCTCCTGGTCTCCTAAATGCTTGTTCCAAGGGTGTTGAATGTGGATCCAAGTAAGCTGAAGTTGTTGACAGTCTCAATCTTTTCTCCATCCATCATGATGCTGCCTATTGGCCCAGTGATGCTACCCTAAGTGCCTGCAAATAGTAACTTAAAGACTGGTGGTTCAAACCCTCCCAGCAGTTCAGTGAAAGAAAGGCCTGGGAATATCGTTCTAGAAAGATCACAGCCACACAATCCCCCAGGAGCAGATCTAGCTGCACATGTGTGTCTTGAAGAGTCGGTGTGGGCCTGACAGAGGGGGTTTGGCTTTGATTATTTCTCAGAGCCAATTCCAACTCAAGGCCACCCATTGTGTTTGAAGGTAGAGCTATGCTCCACAGAACTTTCAATGAATGGCTGGTTTTTTGGAAACAGATTGCCAAGGTACCTCTAGGTGGACTTAAACCTACACCTTGCTTGGTTAGGAGCCAAGATGTACATAACTTGCACCAAATTAGTCTAAAATAAATTATGTTCTTTGGGGAGTTTTGAGAACCTGCTTTTACTGAACACTGACTGTAAGGGAAATACATGGCAAAGTGCTTTGAAAAGGGAAGAAAGTGCGCTGAAGCCTGGCTCAGGGGTGGTGAGGGGGTGAAGGGACCCTCATGGGGCATCCCTTCGAAGGTGGATAAGTCTCCATCATCAGCCATGGACAGGTGGACGCTGATGTCCATCTGCCAGGAATGTTTCAAGGGGCCCTCAAGGGCTGGGGGCAGCCAGAACGTCTGCTGCAGACTGACTCACTCCATGTCACAGAGAACCAGGACGCAGGCAGGCAGTGGGGGAAGCCCTGCCCCATCCCCACTGCCAAGCTCTAGGACGTCAGCTATTAGATGAAAGGAGGCACAACTCAGGCCTCACAGAGCGCGGATGATGCTGACACCCAAAGGTAGAAAATAATGAGACTGCCTTCTCATCTCTGCTCTCCTCTGCTCCGTCTCCTGCCACTTCTGTAACTCAGTTAGCATCTCCGGAGGGATGTTCATCTAAAAAGAGAATCATTATGTTCGCTGGCAACTGCTCCAGAAACTGCTGGTAAGTTACTCTGTGGCTGTTTTTGCTTCTGCCATGAGAGAGAAGGATGACCTGCAAAGTCTCTCACGCCAAAGCAAGATGATCCAGCACGAATATCATTTCCAATAATACACACAGACGACGGAATCCTTGACACTATGGCCTTCAGTCACCTTCTAACCTAGAACAAAACATTCCCCAGAGCTCAACTTTCACCAAACAGTAGAAAAGTCTACAAAATCACCACCACCACCAAGGAAGGACTCAGTCCTTAGAGAAACCAATCATACAAAGATCAAAAGGGCAGCATATGCCCCACAATAAACCCCAGATGGTGGGAAGGGGGAGGATGGAAGAATTAATGGAAATGAGATTCACAAGGAGGAAGTGGGGGAAATAGAGTCACATCCTGGATTTTGTTATTAACCTCCTAAAACAAAGTATCTAATGGCTAGTTCGATGGAAGACCAAATTGTTTTTTAAACATTCACACAAGACACAATAAAAAGAAAATAAACTCTTAGAATAAAGTAATTACATAAGAAAGATATTGAAGTGTCTTATATGATGTAGAGTCCTGGTGGTGCACATGGTTAAGTGCTTGGCTTTTAAACAAAAGACTGGAGGTTCAAACTCACTCAGCAGCCACGTAAAACAAAGGCCTGGGAACCTGTTTCTATAAAGTTATAGCCAAGAAACCCCCTGGGGCGGGTCTGTTGTCACTCGAGGCTTCTTTGAGGCAAAATCAGCTTGATGACACACAACAGATATCCTAGTACATCATGGAAAATGGAAACCCGTTGAGCTTATTCAGCAAAGACCCCAAATTCTCTCCCTTTTCATTCCTGGTACACACACACACACACACACACACACACACACACACACACTCCTCTGAGTGTAGGTATATGTGACACATACACACGTGTGCTTCTCTGAGTGTAGACATGTGTGACACACACACACCCAGATGCTCCTCTGAGTGTAGGTGTGCATGCATGTGGACTTTCAAGCAGGTCTCCAGGCTTCACTCACCTCAGATGCCTTGGTGGTACACCTTCCCCTTCCAGAACATTCCACGTCATTCCCTGGGTTCTCCCCCGGCATGCAGTTGCTGGCCTTCACCACCAGTGTTAAGCGCAAAGCCACAATGCTTTTAGTCACAGAATCATTCACAAAACCTAAAGAAAGTGGGAAACACAAAATAAAGTTTTACCATCAGTCTTTCTACAAGATGACAGGATTTCATTTGGACAGCATGCTAGCCGGCAAACAGAGCAAAACACAACATGACAGAGATAAAGCTCATGGCTGGTGTCCATCTGTACTTTAGTCCACAGAATGGACCAGTCTTCCCTACACTGGGGCAACACTCAAGGCAAACTCTTCAGTGGTCATCTTAAGTCCTCTTGCTTTGCTCCAGCCCTGATGTCTCCTGATTCCATCCCTTGCATCTCAGCCTTTCATTTTTCTGCATTTGAACTCTCTCCTCTCCCAGGAAGTCACCTGCCTGCATCTCTTAACCCTTCTCCCTGGTCACATGGATAATTACAATCACTGGGAAATTTCGAAGGCCTCATCCAGTTAGCAGACTGCCCAGCTCCTCTCAGTGCCCCCTCAAAGACGGGGGGATAACAGTACATACAGTTTTGAACTTGAATAAAGTTAAGTTGATTAATCTATGTTGAGAGGTTTTTTTCCTTTCTATGTATTTTCTTTTATAAATCAATTCCTAAGTCAAGAATGCTCAAGTATCCTCTCATCCTTTCCTTTTAAATTTTAATGTTTCCTATTTAGTTCTTTGAGCCATTTAGAACTTATTCTGAGTATACAGGGAGCTGCTCAGGTGGCATAGTGAGAAAGGACATGCACTATCAATCTAAAGGCTGATGGTTTGAATCCACCAGCTGCTCCACAGGAGAAGAATAGGCAATCTCTTCCCATACAATCTGCAGCCTCCGAAAATTCACTGAGAGTCAGTCAGGACTCAGTTTTGCTATGATGTCAATATGTTAGAGGATTGAGGGATTTTTTTAAGATAGTATAAGATAGGATCACCTGTTGCTGTAGGAAATACATTTTATGCCAGTCACTATTCTCACCAATTGTTGTTGTTATGTGCCGTCGAGTCGCTTGCGACTCATAGCGACCCTATGTACAACAGCCCTAAACTCCGCTCTGTCCT